CGATGCAGGCCATGACTGCACAGAAACAGAGAGCTAGTCCCTTCCACATGTTGTCTCAAACTTGGGCGGCTTCTTCTGTGGTCTGTTGTCTCTCAGGCGGGTGCCGGAGAAGTCGGTCGGGGATGTGTTGACCGGCGGTACTGGGCTGGACGATCGCTTGGAGAGACCAAGTAGATGTCCGGCAGGCGCCGACGAAAAATGATCCAGGGCGGCGTCGGTCTGCCTAATATAGCACGATGTGGGTGGAGTTCTGCAACTCTGTGATTGGTCAAAAATGATCTCATTCATAACAGAAATGATGTCATAAACCACGAGGCAAGCCCATCTCGGGCATTTTGGGACATGTCCGGCCAATATTGATTACTAGGTCATCACCATCAACACGGGGACCGGCTATTCAGACACGGTGTGTTGGTCAATCCTGGTGGTCTATCTTGTTCCATCTATCAAACCTGTCAGTGATGCACGCAAACATAATGAACACCTTATTTCATCATCAAAAGTTGCGAAAACAGCCTTAATTTTAATGAACTCTATCTAGGCAGAGATAGATTTAAGGGGAATCTAGCCAATAATGATTTCTAAATCAACAATCATCTGTTTCAGGTTGAAACATTTGTTCCTACACAAACGATAAATGTTGCCATACAAAGATAATATCAACAATTATAATTATTCAGTATGATCAGTTGGACTAGTAAAAAAGATCAAAATGCTGGTTATCCACAGAAGCACACTTTAGAATGTAAAAGAAACCACATATCAATGCCACCCTGTAGATAGTCTATTAGACACGCGTTACTTTGTTGGCCCCACATGATACAGTCCTGTTTGCGTGCGTCAAAGATTGATTTCAGACGCGACAAAAACACGTTGACAAGGCTTATCGACGCAGAGACCGGCTCTTCGATTTTACAAACACTGTACAGAAAAACAACTTGGTATTTCGATAACTAAGAAGCTACATAATGACACCCCCCCTCCCATCGAAGGAGGACACCGACAGATAATCCTGGTGGTCTTTGTTGTTCCATCTATCATGAGTGTCAGTGATGCACGCAAACCTAAGGAACACCTCATTTCATCGTTAAAACTTGTTAAAACAGCCTTACCTTAAGTGAACCCTATTTAAACTGAGCTTTGGGGGGACTTCGGCTTATAATGATTATAAATCAACACCAACGATTTCTCTTCATTATTATTCTGTATGAACAACTAGACACTCAGGAAAACAAATTAAAATGTAGCCCACCAACAAAAGCAAGGAAAAAGTCACAGGGGGATGGATAGGACAAACCAACTGAAGTAAAATATATTTTCCCATTGTTAAGTTAAAAATGCTAACTAACAGCTACTGCTGCCGCAGCGGTAAATTATAAGTCGATAACTAACTAAGAAGCCGCAATAAGACACCCCCTCCCATGCCCATGGAAGGAGGACAGCGCGAACTACCAAGCATAATAAGTGGAACAGGATAGACCACCGGGAAAGCAGTTTCTGCAAGGATTGGCCAGAACAACATGTTTGAGAAGCAAGTCTCCCTATTGACAGTGATGACCTCTAATCAATATTGGCCGGACATGCCCGCGCTGCGTATGCCCAGCATTACGACGGACGGATAGATAGCATTAACAACTGTGTTGTCAATCCTAAGACCGCTACACTTAAAATGCTGTTGACCCTATCTAGAGTGAGATGTTGGGGATTCTGGCCAATAATGATTTCTAAATCAACACCAACAATCACCTGTTTCAAGTCGATACCTTTCTTCCAAAACTAAAGATAATTGTTCTCACCTACATGATCGACTAGACAAGAAAAAAGGGCAAAATACTGTCCACCCACAGAAGCATAGAAAGAACTTGGGGGATGAAAAGTAAACACAAAATAAGATATATTATCTCATCTTGAATTTTGAAATGCTAACTAACAGCTATTGCTGCCACAGCGGTAAATTATATAAGTTATATATAGATACGTTACTGCCACAGAACAACAGACTTCTGTTAACCGGACATCATCCCACAACCACATATTAATGCCACCCCGTAGTCAATCTACTCGACACGCACAACTTTGTGGCTTATGCAAGATACAGTCCTGTTTGCGTGCGTCAAAGATTGATTCCAGACTCGACAAATGACATATGATTGACAAGGCTTATCGACGCGGGAACCGGCTAGTCGATTTTACAAACACTGTATAGAAAAACAGTATTTCTATAACTAAGAAGCTACTTAAGGACACCCCCCTCCCATTAAGGAGAACCACCGACAGTCATCTTCTACTAGAAAGAACTAGTCATCATACAGAGGCAATACATGTAATGACAATCGGCACGTCAACAGCGGTAAATTGCAAGTCATTTACAGATACATTATTGCCACAGAACGACAGACTTCTATTAACCGGACCTCATCCCACAACCACATATTAATGCCAGTCTAGTCCACACGCACAACTTTGTGGCTTATGCAAAATACAGTCCTGTTTGCGTGCGTCAAAGATTGATTCCAGACTCGACAAAAAACACATATGATTGACAAGGCTTATCGACGCGGGAACCAGCTATTAGATTTTGTAAACACTGTAAAAAAACAATATTTCGATAACTTAGAAGCCGCATGAGGACACCCCCCCTCCCATTAACCACCGACAGTTATCTTCTACTAAATAGAACTAGTTATCATGAGAGACAATACATGTAATGATAATCGGCATGTCAACAGCGGTAAATTGTAAGTCATTTACAGATACATTATTGCCACAGAGCGACATTCTTCTATTAACCGGACTTCATCCCACAACAACATATTAATGCCACCCCGTAGATAATCTATTGGACACGCGTTACTTTGTTGGTTATACAAGATATAGTCTGATTTGCGTGCGTCAAAGATTGATTTCAGACGCGACAAAAAACACATATGATTGACAAGGCTTATCGACGCGGGAACCGGCTAGTCGATTTTGTAAACAGTGTACAGAAAAACAGGTATTTCGATAACTAAGATGCCGCATGAGGACACCCCCCTCCCATTGAAGGACAACCCGACAGTTATCTTCTACTAAAAAGAACTAGTCATCATGCAGAGACAACACATGTAATGACAATCGGCATATCAACAGCATTGATAAGTGCGCCGGTCCCAGGATTAAGACACTTGTTAATGATATTTATCCCTACTTGTAATGTTTGTCGAAGCACGTACGCAAACGTAAATAACACGAGCCCTGCTTAAGGAATCTCCCAAACCCCCAGTCTAGAAAGAGGTCATTTCAGGCAAGGCTGTTTTCGCAACTTTTGCTGATAAAAAAGGTGATCCTTATGTTCGCGTGCACTCTCTAACGTCGACAGGCATAATATGTGGAACAAGATAGACCAAGAGAAAAGAAGTTTTGCTACTACTGTAATCTTTGTCAATCTTTGTCAAATGCAAAAAAGTTGTATTAGTAACATTGTTGTATTAATAGTAACATTGTTGCGCGTGTCCAATAGACTAATACGGGGTGGCATGTTTAAGTATCATTGCTGTATCCTTTTCCTTGTCTATTCATGACCTGTACTTAGCTTGTTAGAGCACAAACGTACAATAAAGGTCTTTCATTCATTCATTAATATGTGCTTGTGGGGTGGAGTTCTGTCAATCGAAGTCCGTAATTTGTCATCACCGTCAGCACGGGCCGGGGCCGGTTTCTCAAACACGTTGTTTTGGTCAATCCTGGTGTTCTATCCTGTTCCATCTATCATGTCAGTGATGCACGCAAACCTAAGGAACACCTTATTTCATCATCAAAATCGGGAAAACAGCTCTACCTTAAATGTACCCTATCTAAACTGAGCTTTTGGGGGACTTCGGCTAATAGTGATTATAAATCAACACTTACCAACTATCAGTTTTCAGCATTATTCTGTATGATCAATTGCTCAAGTAAACACATTAAAACGTAGTTTACCAACCCAACAAAAGGACAGAAAAATGTCACAGGGGATAAGAAAGATACACAAAGTAAAATATATTTTCCCTTGTTAATTTTAGTCATTTACAGATAAATTACTGCCACGGAGCAAAAACACCCCGTAGATAGTCTAGTGGACACGTGCAACTTTGTTGCTTATACAAGATACAGTCCTGTTTGCGTAAAGATTGATTTGAGACGCGACAAAAACATATTGGCAAGGCCCATCGACGCGGGAACCGGCTATTCGATTTTATTAACACTGTACATAAAACAGTATTTCGATAACTAAAAAGCCACATAAGGACACACCCCTTCCATTAAGGAAAACCACCGACATTCATCTTATAATGGAAAGAACTAGTCATCATGCAGAGACGATACATGCGATGACAATTGGCAGGTCAACAGCGGTAAATTTTGTCACTTACAGATAAATTACTGCCACAGAGCGACATTCTTCTATTAACTGGACCTCATCCCACAATTACATATTAATGCCATCCCGTAGATAATCTATTAGACACGCGCAACTTTGTGGCTTATACAAGATATAAACTGGTTTGCGTGCGTCAAAGATTGATTTCAGGCGCGACAAAAACACATTATGACAAGGCTTATCGACGCGGGAACCGGCTATTCGATTTCATAAACACTGTACAGAAAAAACAAATTTTGGATAACTAAGATGCCGTATAAGGACACCCCCCCCCTCCAATTGAAGGACCACCGACAGTTATCTTCTACTAAAAAGAACTAGTCATCATGCAGAGACAATACATGTAATGACAATCGGCATGTCAACAGCGGTAAATTATAAGTCATTTACAGATACATTACTGCCACAGAGCGACAGACTTCTATTAACCGGACCTCATCCCACAACCATATGTTAATGCCACCTCGTAGTCAGTCTATTCCACACGCACAACTTTGTGGCTTATGCAAGATACAGTTCTGTTTGCGTGCGTCAAAGATTGATTTCAGACGCGACAAAAACACATTGACAAGGCTTATCGACGCGAGAACCGGCTATTCGATTTTATAAACACTGTACATAAAACAATATTTCAAAAACTAAAAAGCCACATAAGGACACCCCCCTTCCATTGAAGGAGAACCACCGACAGTCATCTTCTACTGGAAAGAACTAGTCATCATACAGAGACGATACATGCGATGACAATTGGCAGGTCAACAGCGGTAAATTATGTCACTTACAGATAAATTACTGCCACAGAGCGACATTCTTCTATTAACTGGACCTCATCCCACAATTACATATTAATGCCACCCCGTAGTCAGTCTATTCCTCACGCACAGCTTTGTGGCTTATGCAAGATACAGTCCTGTTTGCGTGCGTCAAAGATTGATTTTAGACGCCACAAAAACACATTGACAAGGTTTATCGACGTAGGAACCGGCTATTCGATTTTATAAACACTGTACAAAAGTATTTCGATAACTAAGAAGCCGCATGAGGACACCCCCCTCCCATGAACCACCGACAGTTATCTTCTACTAAAAAGAACTAGTTATCATGCAGAGATAATACATGTAATGACAATTGGCATGTCAACAGCGGTAAATTATAAGTCATTTACAGATACATTACTGCCACAGAGCGACAGACTTCTATTAACCGGACCTCATCCAACAACCACATATTAATGCCACCCCGTAGTCAGTCTATTCGACACGCACAGCTTTGTGGCTTATACAAGATACAGTCCTGTTTGCGTGCGTCAAAGATTGATTTCAGACGCGACAAAAACACATTGACAAGGCTTATCGACGCGGAAACCGGCTCTTCGAACACTGCATAGAAAAACAGGTATTTCGATAACTAAGATGCCGCATGAGGACACCCCCCTCCCATTAACCACCGACAGTTATCTTCTACTAAAAAGAACTAGTTATCATGCAAAGACGAAACATGCGATGACAATCGGCAGGTCAACAGCATTTTAAGTGTAGCGGTCTTAGGATTGACAACACAGTTGTTAATGCTATCTATCCGTCCTTCTTAATGCTGGGCTTACGCAGCGCGGGCATGTCCGGCCAATATTGATTAGAGGTCATCACTGTCAATAGGGAGACTTGCTTCTCAAACATGTTGTTCTGGCCAATCCTTGCAGAAACTGCTTTCCCGGTGGTCTATCCTGTTCCACCTATTATGCTTGTTAGTTCGCGTGTCCTATTGCGGCTTCTTAGTTATCGACTTATAATTTACCGCTGCGGCAGCAATAGCTGTTAGTTAGCATTTTAAACTTAACATGGGAAAATATATTTTACTTCAGTTGGTTTGTCCTATCCATCCTCCTGTGGCTTTCTCCTTGCTTTTGTTGGTGGGCTACATTTTAATTTGTTTTCTTGTCTAGTTGCTCATACAGAATAATAATGAAGAGAAATCGTTGGTGTTGATTTATAATCATTAAAAGCTAGTCCCCCAAAAGCTCAGTTTAAATAGGGTTTACTTAAGGTAAGGCTGTTTTAACAAGTTTTAACGATGAAATAAGGTGTTTCTTAGGTTTGCGTGCATCACTGACACTCATGATAGATGGAACAAGAAAGACCACCAGGATTATCTGTCGGTGTCCTCCTTCAATGGGAGGGGGGTGTCCTTATGTAGCTTCTTAGTTATGGAAATACCAAGTTGTTTTTCTGTAATGTGTTTGTAAAATCGAAGAGACGGTCTCTGCGTCGATAAACCTTGTCAATGTGTTTTTGTCGCGTCTGAAATCAATCTTTGACGCACGCAAACAGGACTGTATCTTGTATAACCAACAAAGTAACGCGTGTCTAATAGACTATCTACAGGGTGGTATTGATATGTGGTTTCTTTTACATTCTAAAGTGTGCTTCTGTGGATAACCAGCATTTTGATCTTTTTTACTAGTCCAACTGATCATACTGAATAATTATAATTGTTGATATTATCTTTATATGGCAACATTTATCGTTTGTGTTGGAACAAATGTTTCAACCTGAAACAGATGATTGTTGATTTAGAAATCATTATTGGCTAGATTCCCCTTAAATCTCTGCCTAGATAGAGTTCATTAAAATTAAGGCTGTTTTCGCAACTTTTGATGATTAAATAAGGTGTTCATTATGTTTGCGTGCATCACTGACAGGTTTGATAGATGGAACAGGATAGACCACCAGGATTGACCAACACACCGTGTCTGAATAGCCGGTCCCCGTGTTGATGGTGATGACCTAGTAATCAATATTGGCCGGACATGTCCCAAAATGCCCGAGATGGGCTTGCCTCGTGGTTTATGACATCATTTCTGTTATGAATGAGATCATTTTTGACCAATCACAGAGTGGCAGAACTCCGCCCACATCGTGCTATATTAGTCAGACCGACGCCGCCCTGGATCATTTTTCGTCGGCGCCTGCCGGACATCTACTTGGTCTCTCCAAGCGATCGTCCAGCCCAGTACCGCCGGTCAACACATCCCCGACCGACTTCTCCGGCACCCGCCTGAGAGACAACAGACCACAGAAGAAGCCGCCCAAGTTTGAGACAACATGTGGAAGGGACTAGCTCTCTGTTTCTGTGCAGTCATGGCCTGCATCGCTGGAGGTTTGGCAGGTGAGTTTTGGAAATCTCTTTTTTGTAAGACCAAATAAGCATAAATCACCATTATGTTAGAATTTAGACGTGCTCACCGCTGAACATATGGACATGATTTCATGACATGTACAATAGGACATCCTCAGCATTTTTGTATACCATTGCATTTTTCTGATAAAACACTAGAAAAAACAGGAAAAGGACAGCATAACTAATGCACAATGAATGCTGGCAGCTAAAAGAAGTGTGATATAGAAGCATTATAATTTACGCCAACTTTAACTGGCGGAATAAACGGATAATGGCGATGCATCAAGAAGACAGTATTCTTTGAAATAGCTTTCTCAAATTTCCCCCTCTACCAAAGTAAGCAGGTCCAAGATTATTAAACTATTTTCATAAAAACCTCTTGTCTGTTTGATTTATTTAAGAAACCGATTTCTATGGGGCCTCAGTTCGTAAGTCTATAATGATTAAACTGATTTGATAAAACACATTGTTTGTGCATTATTAGTACTTATAGACATTTAAGGGTACAGAATATGAAAATGAGTGTCGCTTTGGGACTCTAAAGCAGCGGCAAGACCTCTGCCCTGTACATCTACAAGTCAACATATTTTTCGAGTCGACGAACCCCGCTCCCACAGCCACAATGGTACTATGATTAAACTCGTTTAATGAAAGACTTTGTGTATCATTCTTGCTCTTTTTATTCAAGGGTACAGATTATTATAAATGTGAGATGTTGACGTGGCCCTTTACACAACTTTTCTTACTCCGCCCGGGCGTTAAATGGGTACCTGACTTCTATCAAAAGGACAGTGGAGTCTGACTATGTCCGCAACTTTCCCCCTTCTACCATATATATTTAGTAGGTCCAAGGTTATTAAACTGTTTGATAAAACCATTTTGTCTATGTGCATCCTTTCAGAAACCCAATCCTTTGGGGCTGAGTTCTTACCTTTAAGATGATTAAAGTGATTTAAGAAAACACGTTGTCTGTGTATCATTCTACCGTCTACTAATCATTAAAGGGTACAGATTAGGAAAATGAGTGTCGCCAACTTGAACTGGCAGAATAAGCGGGTAATGGCGATACATAACGGGGACAGTATAGTCTGGATGACTGTATTCTCAACTTTTTCCCTTCTAGTTAGCAGGTGCAAGATTATTAAACTATTTTCTAAAAACTGCTTGTCTGTGTGCGTTCTTATCTTTAAGATGATTAAAGTGATTTAATAAAACACGTTGTCTGTGTATCTTTGTTACTCTAGCGTCTATTAGTCATTGAAGGGCACAGATTACGAAAATGTGTGTCGCCAACTTGAACCGGCAGAATAATAGGGTAATGGCGATACATAACGAGGACAGTATAGTTTAATGACTGTGTCCTCTACTTCCCCCTTCTACCCTTCCACAACAGTTAGCAGGTCCAAGATTATTAAACTATTTTTATAAAAACCTGTGTGCATCCTTTGAGAAACCCAATCCTTTAGTTGTCTTTGCATAATTATTACTTATTCTTATAGACATTTAAGGGTACAAAAAATGGAAATGAGTGTCGCTGCTGGACTCCAAAGCAGCGGCTTGACCTCTGGCTTATATATCTACAAATACCGCCCCGCCCCCTAGCCACAATGGTAAGATGATTAAACTCGTTTATTGAAACACTTTGTCTGTGCATCATTATTTCTCTTGGTATTTAAGGGTACAGATTATTAAAAGTGAGATGTTACCGTAGCACTTTACACAACTTTCTTTACTCCGCCCGGGCCCTGACTTCTATCAAAAGGACAGTGGAGTGGAGTCTGATTGTAATCCACTTTATCCCTTTTATTTTATTTATTTAGCAGTTTCAAGGTTACTAGTATCAAGCTGTTTGATAAAACCATTTCTCTTTGTGCATCCTGTCAGAAACCCAATCCTTTAGGGCTAAGTTCTTACGTCTAAGATGATTAAAGTGCACTAGTACAAGCATGAAAGTTCATCTGAGTTGGTAAAATACATGACGAAAATTAAATTGTTCTCTAACTCAAAAAGAAATTGACTCACCAGACATTTTCGACTGAATCGCTCAGCCTTTTTAGCTTTTTTCACAGCACTTGGGTCATAAAGCTGATGAAGACCGAGTGATTCAGTCGAAAATGTCTGGTTAATTTCTTTTTGAGTTGGAAAACAGTTTAATTTTCTTAATGATTAAAGTGATTTACTAAAACATGTTGTCTGTGTATCTTTGTTACTGTAGCGTGTACTAGTCATTAAAGGGTACAGATTACGAAACTGAGTGTCGCCAACTTGAACCGGCAGAATAAGCGGGTAATGGTGATACATAACGAGGACAGTATAGTTTGGATGACTGTGTCCTCAACTTCCCCCTTCTACCATAGTTAGCAGGTCCAAGATTATTAAAATATGTTCATAAAAACCGCTTGTCTGTGTGAATCCTTTGAGTAACCCAATACTTTGGGGCCACAGTTAAAGTTTAAAATGATTAAACTAATTTAATAAACACGTTGTTTGTGCATTCTTATTACTCATTCTTTTATAGCCATTTAAGGGTACAGAATATTTAAATGAGCGGTGGAACTCTAAAGCAGCGGCATGACCTTTGGCTTGTACAGGCACCAAGCATGATTATCATCTACAAGTCAACATGCTCACCATTTATTTTGCGTTGACACCACCCCTCCAGCTACAGTGATACTAAGATGATTAAACTTGTTTAATGAAACACTTAGTGCATCATCATTTCTTTTGTTATTCAAGGGTACAGGACGTAAAATGGGTACCTGACGTCTATCAAGACGACAGTGTAGTCTTATTACTAGTATGTCCGCTAAATTTCCCCTTCTTCAATATATCCTTTAGATGATTACAGTTATTTAAACACGTAGTCTTCAGCGTCTACTAGTCATTAAATGGTACAGATTACGAAAATGTTATATTATAAAAGCAGCAGCACGACCTCTGGCTTGTACAGGTACCGAGCACAATAACCATCTACAAGTCAAGATGCTCACCGTACCATCTTTTCCTTCGCCCCCCCCCAGCTAACATGGTGAAAATATGATCAAACTGATTTGATAAAACACATAGCCTGTGTATTATTATTTCTTTAATTACTGTTAGCTATTTAAGGGAACGGATTATGACGTGTTGCTGCTGGACTGAAGTACAGAGTCCGATAACCTTCTACAAGTCAACATTCTCATCATCTTCTTATTTTGCCACCACTGCTGAACACTGCTGACCTACCCCTGAACAACAGCCAACCACCAGCCTACTAAACGCAGTAACCGAGCTCGCCGAACACCAGCCGATCACAATCTATTTGCGTGCGCGCGTGCGTGTTAATTTTACCCTGTACTCCTCATTTATTGGTCTTGGTAACACACTTCTTACAGCACCAACCAAAGCAGACAGCTCCCACCATCGCGGGAAGCGAGCCGTGAAGGCCGCTGTCGCCAAATTCGCTAAAGACGCCGCCCTGGACATCGGCCAAAAGGTGGTGGACAAGCTCGGGGACAGGATCGCGGAGGCGGTCGTGGAGAACCACCGGGAGAAGGTGTGTTTGGAATTATTGTAACGAGTATTATTTTGTCCATGTGTCGGTGGTGGCATTAATATAAGTTGAAAAACATGAGTGTGTCCCCACCACGTCTTGTGATTACATGTTCGAATATATTTAAAAAATATTAACCATTGTTTAACTGTTATCTTTTCATTTTGGAACACTTATTTGCTATTTCGTTAGTTGTTTCGTTATTTGTTATTGATTGTATCTTTCTTGGTTATTGGTAAGAATAACATTAGAAATTTGCTACCACTGTGATTTGTACTCTTTATGTTGTTGAACAAAAAAGGTGGTGTCGGGGCTGGAGAGCTACTTCTCCGGGCAGTTTGACAAGGCAGACGAGGCGTTTGATGAAGTGCTAGCCCGCGGCGGAGACCTGCTCTCCGGTGTGGGTGGAAATGTGAAACAGGTTAGCACAGTGTTTAAAGTTAAAACTTTTGGTCCAACACAAAAAATTCTCTCACCTAGAGCTTCCGACGAGTCACTCTGGTCTTCCTCAGTAGACTGACTCAGTGAAGCTTGTCACGTGGCTTCTTTGAAGTGTGACGTCAACACTGGGTCAAAGGTATATGGTAGACGATGTCGGCCCCCGTCGCGGTTCAATGTAGGGTGATGGGCCCTGATGTATATGACTTCCTACACCCCTCTAAAGAAAAAGTCTTGTTCAGTGTCTAAAATCCTTAATTGTCAAGTGAAACAAAATGTCCGGGTGACTCTATGTGAATGTGTTGAGACACCTCTGACACTGGCAGAGCAAGACCGTGTATGTTCTTGAAACCTGGCTTTTAGAGACCTCTCTGTTTCCCCAATGTACGTTCCCCTTGTTGTTTTTGCCCATGGCAGGGGATGTGATAGATGACACCACACTTCAGGTTAGCACAGTGATACACGGTACCATATTATCTATCAATGATGATGAATGAGACAAAAGGGGTTTTGAAATAAGAGTACGCTTAAGCTAGGGAGTTCAAAGAGTCAGTTGAATCTCAGTTTCAACAAAATGCTGAAACACAAGGGCCCAAGTAAGTAAATACAATAAAATTCCATCCCATCCCATGC